TTGCCCTTAGGCTGTTAATAATAATTTTTTTAGAGAGAGCATATCTATCGACTCATCAGATACTCTCACATACCAAAAAAATTTAAGATTATGGTAATATCATGAAACTTTTGCATCATAACAAAATGCATTGATAAATGGAACATATAGCAGAGACAATACACAAGGGACTTAAAAAGAGGCACCTAAATTAGAGCTGGAATTGATTGACCAAAGAATAAAGATTCAACTCTCTTGTTTCTTTCTAACCGAAGACTCCAAAAAAGAGATCATTTTTTTAAGATTGCAGCAGCAGAAAGAAGCAATTAAATGAGTTCTAGGCCTAGAGTCTTTCAAACTTGTATTTGCACGCCTATCTTCAATGAACTCCTTTGAGAAAAATTCTCCCAAAAAGTCAACAATTGATTGTTTGTCCAAAGAATCCTACCATCAAATGCACTGAAAGAGCTCATACACCGTGAAAATTGATCCCAGAATTAGAAGGAATAGCCCCCAAAAAGAAAAACGGATTGAATTGATTATCCACGAAAAACTTCGTGAAGGTACGGAAGAACACAACTCATCCACATTTTCAACCCTATCTAATGTGCCCAATCTTTAGGAGGGAGAAATCATCCGGTTGCGTTGCAAATGCAAAACTGCCAGAACACCAATATCTATTTGACTCGGTAAAAATAACTCTCCAGAATGATAGATTTACAACGACGACAAGAACGAGAAAGATAAACCCTCTAAACACCTTTATTCGTTTTTCTATTTCTATAAAGCTTTCGTTTCTAATTGATGGAAAAGACAGCTTCAAAAATCCTTTCTCAGACGTCTCTAATAGACACAAAGACAAGACGTCCCCAGAGTTTATCCACACCACTTAAGGAAATGAAGGATTCAACAAAACTCCCGAAGACGCTCCCAAATCATATATAAATTGACAAAAAAATAAGAAAAAAATACAGTAAATTGCAGGAAAGAGAGACCTTAGGGTCCGTAACGTGGGAATTCTTGCGGATCTCGGAGGCGATGGTAGAGCGGATCTGAGAAGTAGTAGTGACATCGTCTAAGTTATAGATGTTCATGATTGCAGGCAAGGATCTACATGCTGATCTGAAGAAGTCGAAGACTCGATTCCGGGCTTCTTCCAGACTGGCGGAGTTGGGCGGAACCTTCAGACCTCGAACTGTGAACGCCATTTTTTCTGAGTTCTTCTCTCTGCCTTCGCCAACTCAATGAGTGAACTCGTTCGGCTATTGCTGTTCGCGCTACTCCTCGCAGCCTCCCACGCGCCTGGTTTATATATAAGAGCAATTTGATGGGCTTTAAACCATAAAAATTACATTTGTTTTATGGATTAAAATTAATTTGTTAAAACTAATTATTAAAATTAAAAAGTCTAGTTAAAAGCATTTAAAACAATTTTAATTCGTAATATATATATATATATATAATAACGATAATAATAATTATTATTATTAAATTCATATGTGAAATAAAAATATATATATATATATATAATAACGATAATAATAATTATTATTATTAAATTCATATGTGAAATAAAAATTTCAACCAACTAAATGAAATAAAATGATAATAAGATCTAAAAATAGTCCTATTAAAAGCATTCTTAACTAATTTTAAAATTAAAATTATACATAATAATGCTTCACTTTAATCATTTAGAGGTTTAAAGTATTTTAAAATATAAAAAACTATAGCAATTTAAATTTATCCAAATTTTATTCCTCTTATAATTTTGAAACATCTATAAAAAAAAATATATTAAAACTTTTGAAAGTATATTAGTAATTTTTAAATCAATGGTAAAATTTAGAGATATTTTAAATAATTAAATCTAATAAAATGAAATTAAACATCTAAATAAAGGATATATATATATGTGTGTGTATATATATATATATGTGTGTGTATATATGTATATGTGTTTGTATGTATATATGTATGTGTATATGTATGTGTATATGTATGTATATATGTATGTGTATATGTATGTGTATATGTATGTATATATGTATGTGTATATAAAGTATTTGAATCATTATCATTGAACTAATGCCATACAACAAGAAGAGCATTGACATATCTATATATATATGTATATATGTATATATGTATGTATGTATGTATGTATATATGTATGTATGTATATATGTATATATGTATGTATGTATATATATGTATAATGTATGTATGTATAAAGTATTTGAATCATTATCATTGAACCATTGCCATACAACAAGAAGAGCATTGACATATCTAAGCAAACATAAGTTTACTTCAAAGTTTCATGGTCCATTCTCGTGCAAATTGCAACTAAAAAGAGTTCACGACCTTTCGAAATGGATGGAAATGTCTGACCGTTCTTCTAAACGCATATTAAATCCAACCCCAGAAGAAATTTGTAACTCGAGTATTACATTTCATCACATTCAGCAGTAACACGAGCCAGCTTCGGTCGGTTACTAGGGCCGGTAGCTACATTTTCAATCTTCCTGACAACCAAAAGGCCGTCCCCCAGCACCCTCAATGCCATACCCAGTCAATCCCCGAGCTTGTGAGGACTCCAAAGACCCTGATCTAGATACATTCGTTTTGGTTAGCGACGGTGTGATTACTGCCGGAGCTGTATAGACAGGAGGAGGTCTGGAAGCAGAAACAGGTGGTGGTGCCCTTTTTGGAGGTGGCCCTGAAGAGTCTAAATCCGTAACAAAAAATCCATCCCCAGAACCTGAATTATTCTGGAATGTCAAGATAACTTAAAGATTAGCAATAGTTTATTAACACGAATCATAGATCAAATATGATGGATGGATCAACAAGAGGGAAAACTTCATTCACGGGAGTGATATGAAACTCTTAGGATTTGATCTAAAAACTTTGTTAACTAACGAGATCTTTAGATTTAAATTATTCAAGAACTAAAAAACGATAAGGAATCAACCCAACTCCAAAAACGATAAGGAATCATGTCAACTCAAAAAGGATAAGAAATCAACCCAAGGAAAATTTTTGGAACAGATTATCTTGATGATCAAGATCAAGAGTAAAAGAAACTCATTTTTAAACTCGTGATTTGAATCACTCCACGAGATAGCTTAATCTATACCACTTAAGTGATTCTAGCATGCAAATCTAAAAAAAAAAAAAACAGTAAAGGAACAAGCTTATGACTTTAAATCTAAACAACATATATGGGTCTTGTCATCAAAGCAACACGCTCATGACTTAAAAAAAAGCATAATATACAACTTTCCTTTTAACATGGAAAATGTTCTACTAAAACAAAGAACATGAATGACTATTTATAGCCTTCAAAGTTATTGTAACTTTCATGGCAGTTAAGACTGAATATAACTTATAATCTTAAAAATAATTCTCTAAAACTTTAAAAAGAATACAATAAAGCTATGGATGTTGTCATCCACCATAAAATCTTTATGACATGATTAAAAGACCTTATGTCTTATGTCGTATGAGGAGAAATTGCATGTGAATCAAACTTACCATCTGAGGAAACCCTGCAAGGCCATGGTGATCTCTTATGGCTTCAGATAGGTCAAGCATTCCACCTATTTCGACAGATAATAACATAAGAATATTTTTTAAATAAACGAAACTAAACAATATCGTTATGAACACGGAAAATCACCTTTTCTAGCACAGTTAAGAACATAATCCACACTAATTTGGTCTAGATCCAAGTCATCGAGGGTGACTGCCCCAGGAGGCATTACAACCTTCTTTATCAAGCCACTAGCCAGTACAAAATCAAGAAGTATTTGTCTGTCCCGCCTGCACCGTTGCAAATCCTCGATGGCGTTTTCCCTATATGGAATGAACACTACGTTGTTCATCCAAAACCAAAACAACCGAAATGGAAGTGCAAACAGGCAAACAACACTAATAACACTAAAATTATAGCCATTCTATTTTACCGGCTTCCATTAAGAGTGTTCACGTCGACTAATTTAGGGAATAATCATGAGTTTATAATCAAGGAATACTATTTCCGTTGGTATGAGGCCTTTTGGAGAAGCCATGAGAGCTTATTCTTAAAGTGGGCAATATCATACCATTGTAGATAGTCGTGTTCATCTAACAAAAGAATAGCCATTAGACATTCCGGAGATTACTTACTCGTCCATGGTGAAGCGAAGCTAGATGATACTAATAGTGAAATCCCTCAATTTCAGACTATGTCAATCCGTTCCATCACTAAGAGCTACAAATTTTTCTGATAGCAAAGCCAACTGGAAATCGAATTCATGAATTAGAGCTTTGCAAACGCACGTTAAACGTAATAGTTTCAAGATCAACGACTTTTCCTGTGCATTTAATCTGTTGTAAAACTAAGTTCACAGTCCTGGAACCCTAACCATACCCCGATTCACCAGAAATGAGTGATCTGAGCAGAGTCCTCCCCCTCCCAGTCCAAGCTGCCCAGCGGTGGCACGAGCTGCTCCGACGGTGACTGCTAGTTGACCATAAGCCAATGGATCCTGCAAATCGAAGTAGCAATCTGCAATTAAACACTCCGTTCGATTCACTTCGTATCAGATTCTGGAACTGGCAGAAGTAGAAGCTTCAGAAACAAGAAAACTGAAAGAAATTCCATTGGAAGCTTGAGAGACAGTAGAAATACAACTTCCATTAATACCTTCGCTCAGCTGCCTGGTCGAAGAAAATGATCGTCGAATCAATGGCGGTGAGATTACCTACCAGTCTGGCTATCTATGGAAGCTTGAATCGGGAAAAATGGCCGCCTGAGCTAAGAAATCGGAGATTCATCTAATCCTCTCGATCATTGAAAATGTAAACGTTAGATTAGTCAAACTCTTCCGTCGCCTTTTATTCTTTTTTTTCTTTTCCTTTCACATTTTAGCTCGAAAACATTATAATTTAATTAATTGAAAAATTCATTAAATACGATTTTTTAATTACCGTTTATAAATGAGATATATATTTTTTTAATTAACTTAAATATCGTCCGTACGACATGAAAGGCAAAACCCTGGGGACTGTACTTCATAGGGTTTAAGCATCGCCGGCATTTGCTACTCTGTTTATTTTCTCGACAGACACCATGGATCGATTTCCCAATGATCTCGACGAAGAAATATGCATCGCGGAGAAATTTGAGAGAGAGGAAGACGACGACGACGAGGAGGAGCAAGAAGATGGACAAGACGACTGGGACGATTGGAATGCAGACGAGGAAGGAAGCGAAGAAGCATTTGATTCGAATTTTCTGTGTCTGTTCTGCAACTCGAAGTATAATGACTGCGATGCGCTGTTCAACCACTGCAACTCGGTTCACTACTTCGATTTTCACGGCATCAGGAGGACTCTGGGTTTAGACTTTTATGGTTCGTTCAAAGTTATCAACTACATACGATCTCAGGTAAGCCAAGGATTTTTTTTTCTTTTTGTTACAAATTCATGATGATTTGATTCGAATGTGTTAGATTACAAATCTTGTTAGATGCTGAAAAGGTGTTAACGCGTTATTTACGATTTCTGGTCATGATCAGGTAGCAGAAAACAGATGTTGGAGCTGTGGTTTCTTGTGTCAATCAAACCAGGATTTACAGAACCATTTACACAAAACACTAAATCTCAGTGACGTAAAGGCTCTTTGGAATGATGATAAATATCTAAATCCCTTCAGGCAAGACGATCCGCTCCTGTACAGTTTTGCAGAAGACGAAGAGGATGATGAAATTTCACTCATCAACAATGATCTTCAGAGGAATGCGGGTACTGATGGTGGTAATTGCAATCATGATGAAATGAGTAGAGAAAATCTTCCATTTCATCCAAACCAAAACAAGGAAAATGGAATGGAAGATTGTTGTTCATCTTTACATGGTTATTTGAATGCTCCAAGCAACTTAGAGGCTGAGATTGAGAATACTGTGAAAACCACGGAAATCTTGGGACTGAAAGACGATCAATTAAAAATAGCCAGACGAAATGTTGATAGAATGGATATCAAGAATGCAAATGTAAATTACTTTGATTCATATAGCTCTTTTGGCATACACAGAGAGATGTTAAGCGACAAGGTGCTGTATTACCTCCCAGTCTGCTTTTGAATTTAATATCATAAACTGATATTTCATTTTGAAGTGATATATCATCGACATTACCGTTTATGCAGGTCAGAACGGAAGCCTATATGCATGCTATTTTGCAAAATCCGTCTCTCTTCCACAATGCAGCTGTGATGGATGTAGGCTGTGGAACAGGCATACTCAGGTGAGCTGGAAATAAACTGGTGCAGTTGGCTGCAATGTCTCATTTGAGCTTTCGAAATCGATACTCGTTTCTAAAAATCTCGACATTACCATTATGATCACAATTTTTCAGCTAAGTTTGGTTATCTAAGTACAATTTTTATGTCTCTTAATCTGTTCCTCTTTCTTTCTAGTCTCTTTGCTGCAAAAGCGGGTGCATCGAGAGTTCTTGCGGTTGAAGCGAGTGAAAAGATGGCTGCAGTGGCCACCCAAGTAGTGAATCAACTTCAGTCATTTAGTTTCTTTATTTCTCTGATGATTTGTTTTAAGTAGCTCATTTGCTGGGACATGGTTACAGATTGCTAAAGACAATGGGCTCTGGCGGAACGGGAAACAGACTGGAGATTGTGGCGTGTCAAGTGGGACTATAGAAGTGGTTCATGGTATGGTAGAAGAACTTGATAAGAACATAGAGATTCAGCCTCACAGTGTTGACGTATTAGTGAGTGAATGGATGGGGTATTGCTTGCTGTATGAGTCAATGCTGAACTCAGTTCTCTTTGCAAGGGATCGTTGGTTGAAGCCTGGAGGTGCAATCTTACCAGATACTGCCACAATTGTAAGTCTGCACTATCAAGGTCTAATCTTGAAATTATAGTTCACTTAGTAATTTCTCTATCTACTATTCAGCTTGTTGCAGGATTTGGAGCTGGTGGAACTAGTCTTCCATTTTGGGAAAATGTGTATGGTTTCAGCATGTCTTGTGTTGGGAAGGAACTTATAAAGGATGCTGCCAAAGCTCCCATTGTTGACATTGTGGATGCTAATGATTTGGTAACTAGTACTGCAATTCTCCATGTAAGTACTACCCAAACAAATTTTTTTAATTCATTGTGAATGCATTGCACTCAACTACTACAGCTTGGTGAAACATTTTCTTCATGATTCTTAGATCAGAAAGAAGTATACTTGAGAAGGGACGTGATACTGGGGCAAAAATATGTTAATGTGTTTTACTACATTGTTTATGAATACTGTTGTGAGGTCCCACATCGGTTGGAGAGGAGAATGAAACATTGCTTATAAGTGTGTGGAAACCTCTCCCTAGTAGACGCATTTTAAAACCTTGAGGGGAAGCCCGGAAAGGAAAGCCCGAAGAAGACAATATCTACTGACGATGGGATTGGGCTGTTACAAATGGTATCAGAGCCAAACACCGGTGGTGTGCCAGCAAGGACGCTGGGCCCCCAAGGGGTGGATTGTGAGGTCCCACATCGATTGGAGTGGAGAACGAAACATTGCCAGTAAGGGTGTGGAAACCAATCCCTATTAGACGCGTTTTTAAACTTTGAGGGGAAGCCCGGAAGGGAAAACCCAAAGAGGACAATATCTGCTAGCGGTGGGCTTGGACTGTTACAACTGTTTTCCCATTTAGAATTGCTTTTTTTTGCATCATCGGGCATCTGGTGGGCGGGACTTGTGGTCTTCATTACTTCTGCATACTTCTGTTTTTCAGCGATTTTTCTCCCTCGCTGGATAGATAAAACTTCATTCCATTGTGCTGGGTTGGTAGGTTTCATGTACTTTTGGTCCTGGTTTGTTTGATTACACTTCATCTCTTATCTATTCTGCAAATGCTCGAAATGCTCAGCGAGTCCTAAGCCGTTCCCCCAATTACTAGACTAGTGTGTACCTCAATTATCCATGATTCTTGTATCAGTTTTAAGAATATATCATATGTATGATTTAGGATGATCGGAGTGCACTCTGAACACTCTCGATATCTTGTGGATACCAAAATCGTTTGACTAGTTTATAATCTCCGCTGTAACATCTGTAATGTATTGTGAACGTTATTTCACATGCTATTTTCTTTCTTTTCTGTTCTAATTTTGTTTGGGAGTTAATGAAGACATGCCTTCGTTTTTCCCCCCCTATTGTACAGACTTTCGATCTTGCAACTATGCATCCTGATGAAGTAGACTTCACTGCAAGCACGGACTTGGAACCAAATTTACATTATCCTTCAAGCAACTCAGATGATGTTGAAGTAGAAGCATCTTGGTGTCATGGAGTTGTCCTATGGTTTGAAACTGGTTTCACAAGCAGATTTTGCAAGGAATCACCGGCTGTTCTGTCTACATCTCCCCACACTCCCAAAACTCACTGGTCTCAAACCATATTAACCTTCACAGAGCCAATTGCTTTAACATCTAGAAAATCTGCCACCAACAAATCAGCACCAGTAGGTAGCCATGCCTCCCCTGCTGTCAAAGTTCATTTACGCCTTAGCATTGTCCGTGCGCCCGAACATCGAAGCATTGATATTTCACTAGAGACTACTGGGATTGCTGCTGATGGTCGGAACCGCGACTGGCCTGTACAACTTTTCACATTAAGATAGGAGTATGCAAGCGTAAATGACAGATGCTTGAATCATGAATCAGCAGTTTCAGGCTAAAAAGTGGCCAGATTTTAATGATCTTTCGGGGTTTGTACTATCTCCATGGGTCGCTAGATAGTAACAGAAGATTCATCCATGGAGGTAACCAATTTTGACTCTTGATTCTTGATATGCAAGTTATATTAATAGGTATTGAGAATGTAAACGAGTTAAGCTAGTTAACTTGAGAAGCATTTGCTCCGTGGTTGAAATAATATCATGGTGTATTAGTTTTGTTTTGATTATTGTATTCTATTGTTCTTGCATTTTCACAACATAACGAGGAGTTTGGCTTTTTAGGAATTCACCAAATCTGCCTATACAATTGCTTTGTATAATGAACCCTTAGACAAATGTTAATTAGACGAAATTGAAAGTTCGGGATAAGTGTTCATATGCCAGCGAAGTCAATGGTAAAATTTTGAAGATTTCCTAATTCCCATTGTCTAAATTTTCTTGACCAACTCGACTTAGCAAAAACAAGCGCTGCACAATTGATAGTATTACATTCGGTTGAGCTCTTTCAATATTTCAATAAGTTTCAGCTCTTTCAATATTTCAATAAGTTCCAATTATTTCGTCCCTAAAGTAAAAAAAAAAAAAAAAAAAAACATTTTGATCTTGTTATATTATTTTTTCATCTAATATCTGCTTTCAAAATGTTTCTCCATTATTAGAAAAGATTATTTTTAAAAAAAAATTCAAGAGATAATTAGTCATTTTAAAATTTCAGACCAAAAGACAACAAAATCAAATGCTCCATGACCAAAATGAGCATATCATTTTCTGAACTTTCAAAGTTTAGAGACAATGAAACGGACGAAAGCTTCTTCATCTAAAATAATTTATATACACCTTGAGAAAAAACAACACGAACTCCTTGTTGCATAATACCTTACCTAGATCATTGGCACAGTAAATGGTAACAGATAAACACAGCTGCAATGAAATCAAAACCTCATATTGAACTAAAACTAATTAATTATAATAGGCAACTACAAATATCAGATGGGTGGCTAAGACAAGGGGAGTGGTGGCGGCCATTCTACACAATAACTCACCGCTCAATACAATACCCCCGTGGTAATACAACTTTAGAGGCAAGGAGAGAGAGAGATATATATGTACATATTAAGATATATGTACCTGAGGGCTTGGGAAATCTTTGACTAAGAATCAGGTTGTTCAGATTTAATAGGTGCACCTGAGGATGATCCACAACTTCCATTTTGTGGGTAAAGGCTGTTCGCCACCAGGGAATCACTGACCAAACCAACGTCCGCGTCGTCAAAATTTAGTGTGCCTCGGAGTTTCCGTGGTGTACTACGTGAAGAAATAAAGCAAAATTCTTAGCATAATAATGTCAACCATTCCAAAAACTAGACGATTCTGTTTATATCAAAAAAAAAAAAAAAAAAAAAAAAA